GTATGTTATCTATGTTTTGGTTCGAAAAATACCGCACGAAGTTTTACTGTCATACAATAAAAATAACAATTTTACCATACGAAAATGATAAAAAATGCCAACATTTTAAAATGTATTACTTAGAAGGTTTAAATTAAAATATGTAATGATTTTTTTAACCCGTTATATGTATTCATCTATGTTTCTTACATTTAATTTCGGTGGTTTTCTTTGCCCATTTAAGCAGTTATTCAGCCAATAAGGCCTAATACAGTGGCCTTGTCTGCGAAACGAAACTTGAAATGATAGAGTGCAAAATGGTTTAATTAAGACTACCTCATATTGATCCATGAAAAGCATTTATTTTCCTGTCATAATTGAAATGGAGTAAAAAAAATGATAAAGCTAACATGAAAAATAAAAAAGTCAGGACTGTCATCGTGAGGAAAGTTGTTCACGAATACCTTTTCTTGCAGTAACATATCACCAAGCTCTCAGAGTATGTTCTGTAAGTAAAAAAATTAAGAAAACTGTTCGTAAAAAAACTCAATAAAATATTATACTATGTATAGATTATTATAGCGATGTAGTTGCTCATTTCTGGAAACACCTATGGTTTGTTTAAAATATTGTGTAATATTTATCTCACTAGATGGCAGCATTTCTTTGATTGCCATTCTACGTGTTTTTGAAAGTACTCTTAGATATCCACAGCGAAATAAAGCTGTTTTCATTTTAACCTTTACTTTGCAGAATTAAACTATAAATATGTAATCTTTAGATACTTTTAAGTGAAACTATTCTTTCAGTAGTTCAAAAATGTCACTTCGTTGCAAATACTTCTTTTGCGAGAAACGATGACTGTCAAGTATTTTATTGTCGAATCCTCGTCTTGGATAAACACTGATGTTTTCCTTGCTTAAAGCCCCACCCCCAGTCCGAAGGTTTATACCGCTAACAATCGTCTTTCGATATATGCGGAGGGCAGAGCACAGCTAGTTTATTGTCTATTTATAGACCAAAAAATCCAACATCTGTACTCGGTCCATTTTGACCAATAACTGTTCCACAGTTCGATATATTTTTGGTCATTTAACTAGATCGCCCCAATCAAATACAGATATATTTTCGCTTACTGCCTGCTTTTTATTTCTAGAATTGCCTTTATTAATAAGAATATTTCGTTACTTCAATTTTTGAGGCAGCTTAACAGGACTTTCAGAAACGTTTTTCAATAATGTTAGTAACAGTGTTCTCTTGATTCACTCTAACGGGAGTTTTTAATTTTATTTTACTGTCGAGTTGTAAAAACTTCAAATGTACATAGTTTTGGTTTACCAAATCTGTATCTTTTTTTGTGTTTTCAAAAAGACAACGCCTTCCATCAAACACATTTTTCTTTTAATCATCGTTTAACCACTTTTGAGTTCAAAAATTTAAAAGTACATTCACAACACCACTTTTGAATTACCACTGCTTTAATCATGATGTCAGAAAAAAAACACGTAGGTTCAATAAGTAGGTCAATAATACCTTTCTTCTTCAGGGACAAAATGAAGAAGAAAGGTCCACCTTTCGAAAGAGCACGGGTTATCGGATTTTATCATTTTGTATCACTGCTTTAAGCGTCACTGTATTTTAGTTATCTTGCTTTTTTTTTTTGAAAACTTTTGCGGTAATTATATAAGATTAACTTTTTCCTTCTGCATGACACCCCAGTGACTCGGCGGTAAGTATGAAGACTTATAATGCTAAAAATTGTGTTTTGATACTCGTGGTAGGCACAACACAGAACTCATTGTGTAGTTTTGTTCTTAACTACAAAGAAACGAACATTCTGCGTGCTTTCTGGAAACAAATCTCTTTCAGCCTGTCGAGCGCACTCCTGACTTACGTACCACCTGAGACATCAAGAAACATAAGTAACACATAGTTTACACGTACTTTCTTTCCAAGTCGATCGTTACAGGTAATTTCAATCATCTTTTTTCGTCACAACTAATAATGCTTCTGTAAATAGAACAAATGATTCCGAGTTTAGACGAATTTTATTTCTCAAGTGTTAATGTCAAAAATCAGTATAATAAATATCATCAATCTTAAAATCAGTTCTTTTTATACCAGGACTCTTATGTCATGTACAAACAAGGCTTATAATTTAGGTTAGACACAGATTTTAATCTGCATATATCATGCACAACAGCTTACTATTTAGGTCAGACATAGAAGTTAAATTGCAAAAATGTAACTATTATTGCTTTAATTCTTACGATATTGACAGCAATAATAGTAACCCAAATTGGAGAATTATTTCTGCCAAGACCCAAAGCATTTAACTTATCACAGAACTCATTACTGTAATATTCATGATGAGTTTTTCATATTCACACCAATCTACACTGACATTGGGAATAACATGAAAATTCACCATGAGACCATAACTATGTGTTTGTGGGAAAAGGAAACTCATCAATTATTTTTTCTTGCCAGCATAACTTAACGCAAAATTTACTAGTAAAACTTTGAACTTGTACACTTATCTAATTAAATTAGTTTTCCAAATATTTTAATGAAGATTTTGTCCAAAATGAAGTACATATGATAAATTTTTTGCCGAATGAAACAACATTGTCAATGGGCTAGATATCAGATGATCAATAATAAATATAACTTTTAAATCTTATTTTTAGAGATCTTCATAAAAATATTTAAAAATTTCATACAATAAAGTACAAATTAAAAAGCTTACAATATTTACATTAAGATGGATTATGAAGAAAGAGAAATAATGGATTTTCTTTCCCATGAAAACAAGCATAAAAAAATTGGCTATAAGCTTTAGTTGTTACTTTCACTGCCAAGGTAGATGAAAAACTGATGGAAGTTGTAGGAGATACTTGCCATGATTTTCAATGCTACTAACAGTATCTACCACTTATTTTATCAGTAACAAGTAAAACAACAAGATCTTACATTTAACTTTTGATTAGGACATGTACCTACTCTTAAAGAAACAAAAATTAGAAATGCTTGTAGTTCTCCATAAAAATGTTTCTGGAGAAGATAATTATTATTGTGATGTTAATAAAGTTTAGTTACGATATCACGAAAGAAAGCCAAAATGGATTCACTAAAGGGAAATCTTGCCTTACTCATCTCAAAGTTATTTATTTGGATGATAGTGAGGGTGTGGACTGGGCACACTAAAGTTTTCAAAAAAGCTTCTGACAAGTTACCACACAAAAGATTAGCAAAGAGTATCATAAAAGTAAAGGTGGGAAAAAGACTAGTTAATTGGATTGTAGATGAGAGAAAGCTAGAAGTTATTACTAAACCGGACTCTTACAACTAGTTGTGTTCTTAAGGGGTCAGTGGTTGGACCTTTTTTCTTATTTACGTTAGTAATATTAATTTAAGAATTATTAGTCAAAATAGTTAAGTTTGCTGAAGGACTACAGAATGACTTGGATCAAGTTTTTTGGTAATTTCCTTAATTATATCAAATGCAAGGTAATGCACTTGGGTTATAATAATTTGTGTCACGTTTCATAGAGGTATGAACTGAAGAAAAGAATATTGGAACAGTGATGGATCAGTTACACAAGCTATTGATGTAGTGCTCTGTCACTAGTAGTAAAGCTGTAATAGAATGTCAGGATGTAATTATAGTCATATTGATTACAAGTCGCATATATCTATACACAAATCACTATTTAAGGATTTATTTTTAATATACTGTGTATATCTTTGGTCTAAGAAATGATACTGACTTATCGAAGAGGATTCAGAGGGCTACTACTGTGGGATGATACCAGGGATTGAAAAATTTTCTTACAGGGATAGGTTAACATCTCTTAACTTGTTTTTTCTTAAGAAAAAAAAGGGTAAAAGTTGACCTCAAAGAAGTTTACAAGATTATCTAGGTGATCAATAGGATAAAGACTTCTAGTTTCTTTGTGCTATATTTTGAAGGTAACAGGATGAGAGGATACAAGTTGACAAGATGGAAAATACAAGCTTGGTTCCATACTTCCAGTTTTATTTTTTCTAACGAGGTGATAGGCTTATGGAATGACTTGCCATTGACAGTAGTGGAGGCTGTCACTTTACAAGAGTCTATGCTGGTAATCAAATTTCTGAAAAAAAAAACAACAGAAGGTTGGTTTAAATTTCTAATTTTCTCAAGAGTGGTTGTGCAAGGACAGCCTCGAAGGACCAAATGGTCCTTGTTGTCCATAGGTTATCTTAAAACAACTAATGTCTTGACATCTCCCTTTGAAAAGTTTTGTTCACCAAGTGATGTAGAAACATTCTCTGTATGATATAATAGTATTATTGCTACTACACACAATGTACATTGATGATTGGTTGATCAGTCAATGTATTTTTGGTTGGTACTTCTAGTCTGGTCTTAAAGGCAACCAACAACTGTGAAGTAACTATTTGGATCAAAAATCCATTCCATTACCTTATTACTGTTGGTGAGTAGAATCATACATCTTTTCTAGATTGAGTATGGAATAGTTTGACACAATGACTTCTGAGTTGCTTACTCAGAGAAAGAATCTCAATTGGTCTAGTAAAGACCATGTAGAAAATTGTACATGTAAGGCCTAAATAAAACACAATAGTACTGGTTCTAAAATTTTTTTCATGAGTCACATGCTTTTCTATTTTAATTAAGGATAAATGCATGCCTTTGGAGAGAAATATCCAGTGAAAAGGATCATTTAGCCTAAACCGTCAACTATCAAGCAAGTGTACGACTTCTGAAGAATTCTGCATATTTAAGTAACATGGTATGCATTGTTGAGACTAACCATGTCTAAAAGGAATAAATATACTAGGCTTTAGTGTTTCATGTACTATAGATTAAAATATACAAGTTCCAAATCAGACAGCCGCAAGCTTGTGTAAGGTAATACTTTGTCAATTTGTAACATATATTTACTGTAATTTTCAAAGAAAACTGTAAACAATTTTCCAAATTATATTTAAAGCTGTGTGGCTGGTGGAATTTGCTCATGCTCATTAATAAATTATTCTCAATAGACTTTATCGAATGGAATAATCAAACATAGTAATAATCAGAAACACTTAACTTTGATTAGTTTGTTATTTTCATGACATTAACAGATTTAAATGTAATTTCAATTGATTATTTTATGGGACACTAAACAACAATGCAAATGACACCCATAGGTAATTAATTATGTTGATTAATCAAGTTAATCATCCGGCTCTTATCATTGAGTCTGCAAAATTTTGGGACAGTTTACTTAAAGAAATTGGTTAAGCTGTGATACAGGTAACTGTTCAAATCTTTAATAACACACTCAGTTTGCCCCTGAAGAAGAAAGGCCCACCTTTCAAAAGCACTCAGGTTATAGGGTTTTTATTCGTATTCATGTTAAAGTATTATTGCTAACACGGTTAGTTCAAAAGTTGCACCAAGTATCTCTTATCTTTAACATCACACATGTTGAAACACATTCCATTTGCTTAAGACACAGTGAAAAAGATTTTTTCTTTTAATGTTGTAGTACAAAATTCAAGCTCTGGATTCAATCATATTAATTTTTTTTCCTACCCAGTGCAAAACCTGAACTCCTCAAGTTTGTTCAACTGGATGAAAATACGATACTGGTGCCATTTATGGGTAAAAAAAAAAGTTTAGCATCATCTTATTATGATACTTCAAATATTAATCTACTAATGTAGTTTAGCTAATATTACTTTCAGTAGCTAAACATATTCATTAATTGCCACCATAAAAAAACACTTTTCATATTTTCTCATATTTAAATTTACATAATCACAAAACCAATCTTTTGTGCTATATTATCTCACTGTAGGAACTTTTTATTGCTAAAATGAGATAAAATAGCACAATTCTATTACTACTTATCAGTTGACAAATAATATTGCAAATTAACATATATATAATTATAATGTACCTTCAATTTGTTCTTACAACATACTATTACTTAAGTGTCTATTATGTCATTCTATCATGAAACTTATTATTATATTGCTATCTACTTACTATTATAATAATGGTTAACTCGAATTTACATCAGTATTTAACTTGTGTATTGAGACAATTTTGGATCAACCACCACCAAATAAATTAGAACTGTATGTTATATTACTGTATATATTAAACTGTTTTGATATGGCAAGTAATACTGTAATACTAACACTCAGTTACTTAGTCAGTAGCAAATAATTACTAAAATTTTTACTAATAGGACTAAACAATTGACTCAAGACACCTAAATTTAGACTTTATAGTTAAACCTAACTTAACTTAAGGCCTTAAGATTGTCAAAATTGATAAGATTAAAAAACATATCCAGGATCAGAGCCTGAACTTCGGGCTGCAATAGTGTACAGGTTTTAAATGTAACATAACTCGAGTCGTATTGTATTTTGTAAGTTTGTACTAGGTGTAGCTAGAGGTTTAACTTCAACAGTTTAAATTCATATACTACCTTTACTATACCGTCCATAAAATACAAGACTGAAGACTTATGATTATGAAAAGTATGAGCATTCGGTTATTTCTTTACAAAGCAGACTCAAATAGAGCCAAGTTAGTACAAAAAATACACCGAAATTAGTGATACACTTATAACCTACTTTGCATAAAAACTTAAGTTTTAACCAAACACACACTCTCAGTCTTACTAACGCTAGTTTTACCTGATCTCGAATTTTTTCTCACATAAGTGAACATCTTTTAGCGCCCTCTTTGTATAGTATAAAAATTGAAATAACATAAATCGAAGTGGATTTCAAGGTATTTTGCATTAGGGTTAAAAACAAAACAACAATATTATTTTTACATTATTTCTTATTCTTTATTTACTAATGAAGAAGAAGAACTGAAAGTTTGATTTTATGCCATCAGCAATGTCAGTAATGTCCCAGTAAAATATTGCCCCTATATGACTCTATTTAAATCTAACCATTGAATTTCAGAATATTTCATTTAGTCTAATAACATCATTTCACTATGCGTGGAACTTCAGAATCGTGACAAAACGTTAATGTATAATTTAGAAGCGTAGTCAGCACTAATGAGTGTGCGGGGATCTTTTTTTTTCAAAAAAAAAAAAAAAGTGGAACAGAAGATTGTGTAACTCTTAGATCTTTTAAAATAACGGGCGTCAAAGGTCTGTGTCTTCCTGTTTATATTTTAAAGTTTGGATTTATATCTGCATGGATTAGTTTCCTTGGATAAAAACACTAACGTACGCACGATTTGGGAATAAGATCGTTTTGAATATTGTCAACTTTGAACAGCTGAGGTAAAAGGCAGAAGAGCTGTACTGAGACAACAGATTTGAGAGCCAATGGGGTGCAAGTATCCTTTTGAAAGTGGTGTTACTTGCTTATAGTTAAATACTCATACAGCC